CAAATTAATGGACGAGGACAAAACCTCGCCTCCCTTAGCTTTTTGCAATACACAGAGTCAAATGCCATCTTGAGGTCAATGTATGCTGCAAGGAACCTATACCCTAACAAATAATGACATCGTACAATGCCTCAGCACACTGGGATGTAGTCTTCTGTGGATTTGCCGGGAGCGCGAAAAGACTGCTCAAGTCTCTGGTGCCTTATAAGGTTGTCACAGATAATTTTCAGAAGAATGGGGGTAAGTAAGTAATAATGACAAGAAAATAAATGTGCTAGACATCAAAGGTCATATAGTACTATGGTACTGTATTGTGATGGGAGGGTTTTTTAAACTTCTCTGTTAGAGTTAAAGTGTCATATTTCAATAGTCATTCATTGTATGATAGTATAGAAGTTAAAGTAGTAGAAAGAGGGGGTAGATGGGGTAGGATAGGTATCGATGAAAAGAGGAAGGGTTAAGAACAAAGGGTGGTACGATCAAATGAAGGATATTTATGCGTCTGAGGAAGGAGAACAGATTATCAATACAAAAGGTGGGGGATTCTGTAAGGATGTCTGACAGGTTGGGGGGTCGGGGAAGAAGGGATATGTGAGGGAAAGTAAAGGTACAGGCTTTGGCAAAGCTGGGGCAGGATGGTAGGATATGTGGGACAGAAAAAAGGTTTTTGCATGTAGGGTATAGAGGCAGGTTAGAGGAGTGTGACTCGTGTGTGGCCTATTCGTAAATGGTCCAGGGCAGTTTCCCATCATCTGTTCTGATGGTATGGAGCTGATCAATGAGAGATTGAAGGTTTTATAGTTTAAGGCTTATTGGTGTTCAGACCTGACCAGAAAGATTGCTAACGGTTGTACAGGAAAGTTTTGAAGTGTAGGTAGTAGTCGGTGGCTGGGATGAATAAAAAGGGGATCAAAGGTGAAAAGGTAATCGTGCCAAGTCATCTGCTTTTCCATTGCCGGGAATTCTGACATGGCTGGGAATACAGCAAAAATTCACAGACTTATGGACTATGGGGTTGATAGGGTGAATGGATTTTATGAGTAATATTGAGTTGCGTGAGTCAGTGAAGATAGTGAAGGATGAGGAAGAGATAGAAGACATACATTGTAGGGCAAAGAGGATAGCATATAGTTCTGTTGTAAGGACACTCGATTCAAGAGGTAAAGGAAAATTGCATGTGTGAGAGGGGAGGACTATGGCAAAACCAGCAACTGAAGCAAGAAAATGTGTGAGGAGGATAGAAGTGGAATATTTACATTTGGTAGATCAGGGAATATAGGAGAGCAATTTCAAGAGGTAGATATTAGCTGGGGAGGGAAAGTTTGGAGAGAAACCGGAAGAGTTCGGAGATAAGGAAAGGATGAATTGGAAAAAAAAAACATCCCTATGAAAAGGGAAAGGGTCAAATAAACATGGAGAGGAAGAAAAGATATAAAGAAGGGGTTGAGGGACAGTTTGGAGAGAGAAAACTGGTGAAAGTGAGCATAGCTTTTTAGAGACAGAAGAGTGCAATGTCTAAAGAGGGATGGTAATCCTGATTCAGCGTATAGACTCTCAACTGGAGAGGATTGGAAGGCTCCTAGGGCTAAGTGGAGACCGCAATTGGATCAAGCTGAGAGGGAAGAGAGGCAGAGACAGAAGAATATATATGACACCTAGAGGATTAGGGTAATGTGGAAATGTAGGAGTGTTTTGCGGTCTGAAACCTAGGACAGGTGAGAGAGGGTTTGTAGGAGTCGAAGGCGATGGCGGCTTTTTCTTTAATGGAGAGGATATGATCTTGCTAAGAGTCAAAAATAACTCCAAGAAACTTGCCGGAAGATCGGGATTGGATAGGGGCATCATATAGGAGTGGAGGTTGGGAGCCTATACGTGAATGAGAGAACAGGAAGGGGAAAGTTTTAGAGGTAGAGAATCAAAAGCTATGGTTGGTAGCTCCAGAAGAGATTGATGTTACTGACGAGAATGGGTGTAAATTCCTTATCTGCTATACAGAGCATAGTGATGCCATGGTAGTGGCTACAGTCCCGGTGATCCCTTTTCCCTTTCAGAGAGTACTTACATGTAAACATATACATATGCACATATTTGCCTTACTCCACATTTACCCACAGCCATATGCAAACTAATATGATACAGCTTGACCCATTCCTCCATGATCTTACCCATTTACCCACAGCCATATGCAAACTAATATGATACAGCTAAACCCATTCTTCCATGATCTTACCTTTTGGATTTACACACTCTCTGCACAGCCAACCTTCCAGCAGCTGAGTGACTGCACGTGCCTTCCCTTGGGTCTCAACATAGGAGGCTCCTCGCTCAAGGGAACCCTGGCTTCACGGGGCGGGAGAGGCGAGGGCAGAGTGAGGGAAATTAGGCTTCTCCTCCTTACGTAGTCTCCTGTACGAAGGATGGTAAGAAATTATTCTTGTAATTCTTTTCATGCTTCTAGCACTGAATGTAACAACAGCAATGATAATATTTTTCTGTCTGAAAGAAATCTGTCACTAATATGACACAATATCTGGAGGTTAAAACTTGTTTTCTGTATCAATATAATATATATACAAATAAATAAATATATATATATATATATATATATATATATATATATATATATATATATATATATATATATATATATATATATATATATATATATGAACTCACACTAAAAAGGATATTTTCAATTAGTATTACATTTAGACAGTTATCATAATTATGATAATAACAATATTCCAAGATAATGCTAGAGACTATAACATAAAAAATAATGAGTTCATGAATATCAAAATTATGCTGATGACAAAAAGTAAAATGATGTTTATAATAATAAAAATGATAAAAATATACATGAAAATAATGTTTTTGATAGAAATAATATTGTGATAATGACAATGCTCAAAATGAGAACGATAATAACAATGGTGGAAAAATTGTAAAAATTGTGAAACTAATTATAATATCTTTAAAACCAATGGTTAATAATGAAGGTATTTTACAGATCATTCCGACCATCATACACCATGGAAATGGCTTTCCTATGGTGTTATGGTAGGTAGAATGATAGTTCCGTGGAATTCCACATTACTAAATTGTTACTGACATTACTAACAGCAATATTAAATATTAGAAAATATTGAAAATCAAGGAAAAGGACAAACAGGTTAGACAGGTAGTTCACGTAATTGGCTCATTGGTGACGGTACTCGTGGAGCCATCTACATGTAAAAACAATGACTAAATTCAATACACACAACAGGCAATGCCATGTATGGACATGCCACGCCCGGCAGCTTGGCGTCAATAAAAAGTGAGAACTCTTCGGAGAATGTGGAACAAAAGTGTCATCCAGGGGCCTATATTGGAATATATTTGCGATATATTCAACTTATCTACTCATGGGAGTCTTAAGAGTGAAAAATATAGTTTACCAGTCCTCCATAGGGCCAAGGTAACAGTAATAATGATAATAATAATACATCTAATATAAAAATAATGAAAATAATAATACTTCTAATATAAAAATAATGAAAATAATAATACTTCTAATATAAAAATAATGAAAATAATAATACTTCTAATATAGAAATAATGAAAATAATAATACAAATAAAAATAATGAAAATAATAATACATCTAATATAAAAATGATGAAAATAATAATACATTTAATTAAAAAATAATGAAAATAATAATACATCTAATATAAAAATAATGATAATAATAATACATCTAATATAAAATAATGATAATAATAATAATAATACATGAAAATAATACAATATAAAAAATAATGAAAATAACAATACATCTAATATAAAATAATTAAAATAATAATACATCTAATATAAAAAATGAAAATAATAATACATCATCATAATAATACATCTAATATAAAAATAATGAAAATAATAATACATTTAATATAAAAATAATGAAAATAATAATACATCTAATATAAAAATAATGATAATGATAATAATACTAATACATCTAATATAAAAATAATGATAATAATAATAATACATTTAATTAAAAAATAATGAAAATAATAATACATCTAATATAAAAATAATGATAATAATAATAATACTTTTAATTAAAAAATAATGAAAATAATAATACATCTAATATAAAAAAAAATTATAATAATAATACATCTAATATAAAAAATAATGATAATAATAATAATACATTTAATTAAAAAATAATGAAATAATAATACATCTAATATAAAAATAATGATAATAAAATAAATATAAAAATATATGATAATATAATATACATTTAATTAAAAAATAATGAAAATAACAATACATCTAATATAAAAAATAATGATAATAATAATAATACTTTTAATTAAAAAATAATTAAAATAATAATACATCTAATATAAAAAATAATGAAATAATAATACATCTAATATAAAAAATAATTGAAATAATAATACATCTAATATAAAAATAATGATAATAATAATAATAAATTTAATTAAAAAATAATGAAAATAATAATACATCTAATATAAAAATAATGAAAATAATAATACATCTAATATAAAATAATGATAAAATAATGATAATAATAATAATACATTTAATTAAAAAATAATGATAATAATAATACTTCTAATATAAAAATAATGAAAATAATAATACATCTAATATAAAAATAATGAAAATAATAATACATCTAATATAAAAATAATGAAAATAACAATACATCTAACATAAAAATAATGATAATAATAATAATACATTTAATTAAAAAATAATGATAATAATAATACATCTAATATAAAAATAATGAAAATAATACATATAATATAAAAATGATGAAAATAACAATAATACATCTAATATAAAAATAATCATAATAATAATACATCTAATATAAAAAAATGATAATAATAATACATCTAATATAAAAATAATGATAATGATAATAATACTTTTAATTAAAAAATAATGAAAATAATAATACATCTAATATAAAAATAATGATAATAATACATCTAATATAAAAATAATTAAAATAATAATACATCTAATATAAAAATAATTAAAATAATAATACATCTAATACAAAAAAATTATAATAATAATACATCTAATATAAAAATAATGATAATAATAATAATACATTTAATTAAAAAATAATGAAAATAATAATACATCTAATATAAAAATAATGATAATAATAATACTTCTAATATAAAAATAATGAAAATAATAATACATCTAATATAAAAATAATGAAAATAATAATACATCTAATATAAAAAAAATTATAATAATAATACATCTAATATAAAAATAATGATAATAATAATAATACATTTAATATAAAAATAATGAAAATAACAATACATCTAATATAAAAATAATGATAATAATAATAATACATTTAATTAAAAAATAATGAAACTAATAATACATCTAATATAAAAATAATGATAATAATAATAATACATTTAATTAAAAAATAATGAAAATAATAATACATCTAATATAAAATAATAAAATAATAATAATAATACTAATAATACATCTAATAATAAAATAATTAAAATAATAATACATCTAATATAAAAATAATGATAATAATAATACATCTAATATGATACAAATATAAAAATAATAATAATAATAATAATACATTTAATTAAAAAATAATGAAAATAATAATACATCTAATATAAAAATAATGATAATAATACATCTAATATAAAAATGATGAAAATAATAATACATCTAATATAAAAAAAATTATAATAATAATACATCTAATATAAAAATAATGATAATAATAATAATACATTTAATTAAAAAATAATGAAAATAATAATACATCTAATATAAAAATAATGATAATAATAATAATACTTTTAATTAAAAAATAATGAAAATAATAATACATCTAATATAAAAAAAATTATAATAATAATACATCTAATATAAAAATAATGATAATATAATAATACTTTTAATTAAAAAATAATGAAAATAATAATACATCTAATATAAAAAAAATTATAATAATAATACATCTAATATAAAAATAATGATAATAATAATAATACTTTTAATTAAAAAATAATGAAAATAATAATACATCTAATATAAAAATAATGAAAATAATAATACATCTAATATAAAAAAATGATAATAATAATACATCTAATATAAAAATAATGATAATAATAATAATACATTTAATTGAAAAATAATGAAAATAATAATACATCTAATATAAAAATAATGAAAATAATAATACATCTAATATAAAAATGATGAAAATAATAATACATTTAATCAAAAAATAATGAAAATAATAATACATCTAATATAAAAAAAATGAAAATAATAATACATCTAATATAAAAATAATGAAAATAATAATACATCTAATATAAAAATAATGAAAATAATAATACATCTAATATAAAAATAATGAAAATAATAATACTTCAAATATAAAAATGATGAAAATAATAATACATATATTAGTAATAAGAAAGATGCTATAAAAAAAGGTTAATAATAATGATAATAATTGCAGTGATAAAAATAACAATAATCATTATAATGATAATAATGATATCAATAACACTAATATCAATGATAATACAGGTAATAGTGATAAGCGTAATAATGATACTAATAACGACCCTATTCAGGACATAAATAATATCTTTTCATATATAAGGTGAAAATAATATCATAGAGATTTTAGTATCAATATGGTAATGATAATAACAATAAGTATATTCATGACAAGAAAAATAAAGATAAGATTAACTAGATATTAATAAGTGATAATAATATAAGGAGTATATCTTCAAATATATCTATTGATCATATCCTGACATTAGATTATCCAGTTATTTCCAATTTTCATTCATTTAATTTAATGTTCATAAACTACTTCTCTGCTCAATACCTCATGTGTTCACGTCTGCGCTCACGCTCATCATATAAATCAACAGTTGCGTATATCCAGCCAATTGTAGACTCTCACGCCCCTGAAAAGCAATACCAGGGTGCGTGACCTAGAACTGTTCTGATTGGCTGGTACAAAACACCTTTAAACCAGATTGGTTCACCCGTAACTTGGGACGGGAGGGATAACCCTGAACAAGAATCCACAGGGCACTGTGAGTTTAATTCATTGATTATTCTCACACAAAGATGGTTCCAAAAGTATGAAGTCACTAATGAGCCAATTACAATTACAACTGCTACCTGTCTCACCTGTTTATCCTTTTCCTTGATTTAAAAAAAAAAAAAAAAAAATCTGGATTCTGATATTGCTCTCCGTAATGTCAATAACACCATAGTAATCATAATGGCTATAAAAAAAAAATAACAAAATCAGTATAAAAAACAAACACAAAAATAGTTTTTCCCCCAAACTCAAGGATCGATATTGACAAACACACTTCAGTTCTTCCCGGAAACTCACGAAAAGGTGAAATCAGGCGAGGATCTACTAATTGATTCAAGATCTACTAATTGATTAATTAATACAAGATCTACTAATTGAGATCTACTAATTGATTAATTAATTACAAGATCTACTTGATTATTAATTCAAGATTACACAAGATCTACTAATTAATTAATACAAGATCTACTAATTGATTAATTAATAAAAAATCTACTAATTGATCAATTAATACAAGATCTACTGATTGATTAATTAATACAAGATCTACTAATTGATTAATTAATACAAGATCTACTAATTGATTAATTAATACAAGAGATAATGATTAATTAATACAAGATCTATAATTGATTAATTAATACAAAGATCTACTAATTGATTAATTGATCTTACTAATTGATTAATTAATACAAGATCTACTAATTAATTAATACAAGATCTACTAATTGATTAATTAATACAAGATCTACTAATTGATTAATTAATACAAGATCTACTAATTGATTAATTAATACAAGATCTACTAATTGATTAATTAATACAAGATTACTAATTGATTAATTAATTACTAATTAATACAAGATCATACAAGATCTACTAATTGATTAATTAATACAAGATCTACTAATTGAATAATTAATACAAGATCTACTAATTGATTAATTAATACAAGATCTACTAATTGATTAATTAATTCAAGATCTACTAATTGATTAATTAATAAAAAATCTACTAATTGACTAATTAATACAAGATCTATTAATTGATTAATTAATACAAGATCTACTAATTGATTAATTAATACAAGATCTACTAATTGATTAATTAATACAAGATCTACTAATTGATTAATTAATACAAGATCTACTAATTGATTAATTAATACAAGATCTACTAATTGATTAATTAATACAAGATCTACTAATTAATTAATCTACTAATTGATTAATTAATACAAGATCTACAATTGATTAATTATTGATCTACTAATTGATTAATTAATACAAGATCTACTGATTGTTTAATTAATACAAGATCTAATTGATTAATTAATACAAGATCTACTAATTGATTAATTAATACAAGATCTACTAATTGATTAATTAATACAAGATCTAATAATTAATACCTAATTGATTAATTTATCTACTAATTAATACAAGATCTACTAATTGATTAATTAATACAAGATCTACTAATTGATTAATTAATACAAGATCTACTAATTAATTAATACAAGATCTACTAATTAATACAAGATCTACTAATTGATTAATTAATACAAGACCTACTAATTGATTAATTAATACAAGATCTAGTAATTAATTAATAAATACAAGATCTACTAATTGATTAATTAATTCAAGATCTACTAATTGATTAATTAATACAAGATCTACTAATTGATTAATTAATACAAGATCTACTAATTGATTAATTAATACAAGACCTACTAATTGATTAATTAATACAAGATCTACTAATTGATTCAAGATCTACTAATTGATTAATTAACACAAGATCTACTGATTGATTAATTAATACAAGATCTACTAATTGATTAATTAATACAAGACCTACTAATTGATTAATTAATACAAGATCTACTAATTGATTAATTAATACAAGATCTACTAATTGATTAATTAATTCAAGATCTACTAATTGATTAATTAATACAAGATACTGATCTACTCAAGATCTACTAATTGATTAATTAATACAAGATCTACTAATTAATTAATACAAGATCTACTAATTGATTAATTAATTCAAGATCTACTAATTAATTAATTAATACAAGATCTACTAATTGATTAATTAATACAAGATCTACTAACTGATTAATCAATACAAGATCTACTAATTGATTAATTAATACAAGATCTACTAATTGATTAATTAATACAAGATCTACTAATTGATTAATTAATACAAGATCTACTAATTAATTAATTAATACAAGATCTACTAATTGATTAATTAACACAAGATCTACTAATTGATTAATTAATACAAGATCTACTAATTGATTAATTAATACAAGATTACATTAATAATACAAGATTACTAATTAATAATACAAGAACTTGATTAATTAATACAAGATCTACTAATTGATTAATTAATACAAGATCTACTAATTAATTAATTAATTAATACAAGATCTACTAATTAATTAATTAATACAAGATCTACTAATTAATTAATTAATACAAGATCTACTAATTGATTAATTAATACAAGATCTACTAATTGATTCAAGATCTACTAATTGATTAATTAATACAAGATCTACTAATTGATTAATTAATACAAGCTCTACTAATTGATTAATTAATACAAGATCTACTAATTGATTAATTAATACATAATTGATAATTAATACAAGATCTACTAATTGATCAATTAATACAAGATCTACTAATTGATTAATTAATACAAGATCTAATTGAGTAATTGATTAATACAAGATCTACTAATTGATTAATTATACTACTAATTGATTAATTAATACAAGATCTACTAATTGATTAATTAA